GTTACAAAGAAATACTAATATTCAAATGAATTCTATTTTTGTGCCATCATCAAGGCTCAAGTCAAAGTTGCGCAACCTCGTCTTCTCCCCCACTGATGTTTTCATTTCTCCTTATGAAGACTTTTTTTATGGGGACACAAGCTTGAACTCACAAACACATATTCAAACTAAATCAGTGAAATGCAGTAAGATTATGATAAAAGATATGAGGTGCATCGTTCTCCTTTGAGTTTGAAAAGGTCACAGATGATATTTATGAAAGAAAGCCCTGTAGCTCTTTTAAATGAAATGATATTCTTCTCTACAAAATATGTCCCCAGTCTATGTGATATTTTCAGCTCGTATTTGCTGTAATAAAATTATAGTGATTGTGATTACCGATGAACCTCCTATTGCTCTGGTTGTGTTTTCTCAGCAATGGAAAGATGTGAACTTGCAGTGGAACCCGGAGGATTACGGCGGCATCAAAAAGATCAGAGTTCCCTCCACTGACATTTGGCGGCCTGATCTGGTTCTCTACAACAAGTATGTCATGGGGCTATATTTGATCCATGTCCTGTAGCTCTGTTTTTTTTCTAAAATCCTTTCATTTTTCATTACGGTAAGCTTTACATGACCTGAAGCATCCAAACAATCAGCCCACCTGTCAGTGATGTTTCTGAATCACACTTTCCTATGCTCCAGTATGGAGCGTGTGAAAGCTCGGATTTCATTTGGCTAAATCTGGCCTCTCTTTTGCACCCACCCCCCCATCACCCTCTCTCCCTGCACCATATGTTGCATATGTTGCACACTGCTGTTTTTCCCTGACAACTAGCTCCACTGCCACAACAACTTGTGCCATTCTGAGCGCTGGTTGGCTGGGCAGCGTGACAGCAGCGGCAGCCCACCCTCCGGCACTGATATGTCCCCCTACGTTAACATTTAACTTACTGCCTTCCCTCTCATGCTGATGATGCTGCCTGCGTCTGTCTGTATACTTGCAGTGCTGACGGTGACTTTGCCATCGTTCACGAGACCAAAGTGCTGCTGGAGTACACTGGGATGATCACGTGGAACCCACCTGCCATCTTCAAGAGCTACTGTGAAATCATCGTGCTGCATTTCCCCTTTGACCTTCAGAACTGCAGCATGAAGCTGGGAACCTGGACCTATGATGGAAACCTGGTCGTCGTCAATCCTGTAATTCCCATTAGATATTTCTTAAAAAGGAGTAGCTCTACATGTTGGGAAACAGACATATTCCCATTCTGGAATTAGAGGTAGAGATTGATGAGAGGATTGACACCACTCTCTGACATGTTATCTGCCATTTAAACTTGAAGCCGGGCCTAAAATTAAAATCATCGATTTAACCATCCAATACCCTTGAAATGCTAAATGACAGCAATATAAGGCTACTGTTTCTGTTACTGTTAAGTCAAAGACAGAAAGCACTCCTATAAGAACTGGAACTATGGCGCAACTTTTCTAAATTCATTAACGAATCGCTGTCAACATCAGTCAAGCCCTCTTTAAACACCTCATGGGGCTAAATACAGCAGCCGATTAGCTTCTCCTGCCAGCTCCCTTGTAAAATGTGCAGAAATGTCCGTGTTAGCCCATTTGTGAGAAAACAGCAGGAAAATGTCCAGAAAATTCACCGTGAGCGAATCAATGTGAGTGTTGCCATGTTTTTAACAAGTAACAGACACAAAACTGAAAAGGAAAAAAACCCAAAAAGAATACAAATATCTCAGGATGGAAAAAAGAGGCCATTGCCTGCACACAGGAGACGCAGATCAAGATGTCAACTTAGACAGAGAATGAGATTCAAGAGCTTTTGGTTTTTCCGGTGGCGTCATTGTTGATGTGCTATAAACAAGAACACGTGATTTACACTGCAGAATGAATACGTCATGTCCTGCAACTTCTCCACAGGCACCACCCCTCGCCTGAGGGAAAACATTTCAGAATACACTTTGCATTTTTGAAATAACCAACATGTATCAACAAACAAATTCCACTTCTGTGTGGAAATATGTTTTTTATTTACCATTGGACTGAGGCAGGTTACATTTTACCTGTTGTTAAGCTAAACTAGGCTAACCATCTTGCAACTGTAGCAACTGAGTGGTATCAATCTTTCCTTTACCCATTAAAATAGTGTACTGTTAAAAACAAATGATTTTACATGATGCCAAAATATCTCAAATGTCGCAAATCATTTGGAACAATCCAACAACAGAACCTTCATCGGGGAGCGTGGGATGTAGACACTTATCTTTTTTATAAAGATAAGTGCAATTCATATTCATCGACAGGTTACAAACTTATAAACAGTAGAAATGATAAAACTTGAACTTTAAAGAATCATCCTTAATTTGTCCTGTTTATTATTTCTCTTCATCAGGACAGTGATCGCCCAGACCTGAGTAACTTTATGGAAAGTGGGGAGTGGGTGATGAAGGATTTCCGGGGCTGGAAGCACTGGGTCTACTATGCCTGCTGCCCAGAAACGCCTTACCTGGACATCACCTACCACTTCCTCATGCTGCGGCTCCCTCTGTACTTCATCGTCAACGTCATCATCCCCTGTATGCTCTTCTCCTTCCTGACCGGCCTCGTCTTCTACCTTCCTACTGACTCTGGTATGTTGACGGACCTGCTGTTTCAACTTTGTTTTCTTTCACATGGATATGAAGTTATTGGTTTGTAGTGCAATTATGAAATTATGTCTGATTTATACAGACAAAAGCACAACAAAATATGGTGTGTAATGGATGACACTGCAAAAAGACAGATGTTTAAACAAGTTTCACACACTCATAAATCAGTCCCCTAAAAATGACTTCCTGCAAAATCCAGGAAAATGTTTTAAAACAGTCTTGCAATGAAAAAAAAGTCTGAAGCTTGATCCGGATCTGTACCAACAAACAAAACAACAAACAAACAGTGGTTAAAGCATAACCTCCTTGCAGAAAGTCATAATAACATACACAAATGGGATTAAACTGCCCATCATCCTCCTTCCTGAATACACAATATAATAAATGGCACAGCTCTCTCTCTCTTTGTTGATTTTACATCGCTTATGTCTTCATATGCACACACAGTTTATTTTCTCCATATTTTTGCAAGATGTCATAAATTGCATCCATTGCTTGTAAATCTCATTTCAGTCTCTGAGCCAGTTACTCATACTGTAGCAATTTATTTCTGTACTTCCCAGCTCATAAGATACAGTTTATGTAACATCTGATATAACAAGGCCCTGTGCTGGATTTGGCTTTACATTCTCCAGTTGTTTACAAGAACTGAAGGGAAGCTGTACTATGAAAGTGTTTTAAGAGAGGATTGACACCACGTCTAACAGTCAGTTAGCTTAGCTTAGCACAAACACTAAAAACAGGGAAACTCTGAGCCCTCACCAGTAATGGTAATGGCTCATTTCTTTATCATCCATGTGTTCTTGATATTCACTGATAACATCCTCGTCTTTATTGGAGCCTGTCAGTCTCAGTTGTATTTACACTGGCTGCAACAGGAACCGCCCCGCTCGTGTGCACATCTGGCCGAGTTCCCAGTGTGCAGGTCTGCCTCATTACCCAGAGTCCCTCTGTGCTGTCATGTCTGAAAAGCAGGCCTTTGCTTTAATGTATAATACATCACTTGATCCCTGTTTCTGATATGGCCGCTGACAGGATGGTGTAAAGCTGAAGGAGAAGCTCGTGCCAAAAGAAACTCTCTCAGGGATAACAGCTCTTACCGAGCAACAAAAACAACATGTCTCTCCTTTTACTTGTGTGAATGGTGTCAGAATCTGTTTACTTCCTCTATTGTTGGTCAGGTAAAAAAAAAGGTAGGCTCTCAGTCTTTAAACGTGATTTGCTTGTGTGGGTGCACAGTGCCGTTATTGTGTTTTTAGAGGTGGACTTATTGAATGACGGGGAAAGTATATATTGTATGTACCATACTCATATAAACCAGGCTCGTGTAAGCAGCTCTTTCATGTGGCAATGTAATAATAAGATTGGATGTTGGAGGCGCCCTGAGAAAACTAAAATATTGTTTGATGTGACTGCTCCACATTTTCTACTCCATTTTCACAATTACTTCAAAATGTCGTTTCAAGCTCAGACGCTGCAAAGAAACATAGAGAATGTGTTATTGAATCAGAAGAAGAAGAAGCTTGTAATGCATCTGACTTTTCACAAAAATTCTAAAGTGCCTCATAAACAACAAGAGAATAAGAAAATAGAAGAGATAGAATAAAATAAAATTCATATAGGGAAACCTTTTAAGAGCGTTTTAAGAGGCGATTAAAAAGCAGGAACAGATGTAACATGTCTGAGCTGGTAAGTTGTTCCAGAATTTGGGAGCATAAGCATGATTCCCTTTAGTCACTAATCAGGCTCTGAGAACTACCAGACAACTATCAGCTGAACATTCATCAAGAAATTCTTAAAATCAACCCAAACACAAACAGGAAGCCAATGCAGCAAGGCCAGAAACAATATGGTCAAATTTCCATGAACCACATAATACATTTCTGAGTTTCCAATTGTTTTCCCCTTTGACCCTTCAAATTTAAGTTGTGACCAGGGCAGCTGAAGAAATATTACACTCTGAATATAATAAGATGATTATTTATTATTATGATATCCTTTTATAGGATTTTTAGAGTCCCTGATAAGAAATATGATCTGATATCCATAGTTTTTAGACAAGTTATGACGTTAACAGAGATGATTTTCTGTGTCTTCCAGGGGAGAAGATGACTCTCAGCATCTCCGTCCTCCTGTCTCTGACTGTGTTCCTGCTGGTCATTGTGGAGCTGATCCCCTCCACCTCCAGTGCTGTGCCGCTCATTGGGAAGTACATGCTCTTCACCATGGTCTTCGTCATTGCCTCCATCATCATCACTGTCATTGTCATTAACACCCACCACCGCTCCCCGAGCACCCACACGATGCCAGACTGGGTCCGCAAGGTGAGTTCAGCTCGGAGCGAGATTGATGACTTATCAATTTGATTGTAGAGCTGAACAACAACAAATGAATCCATCACATTTCCAATGTTTGGAAAACGAGCTTTACTCTATTTTTACTCTGCATTACATCGCCATCTAGTGGTACAAAAACATATTTACTTAGAGCCAACTGCCCTGATGCTGAACACTCCTTGACAAATGTGTTCATCCTTTATCTTTTTTTTTCTGGCAGGTTTTTATTGAAACTATCCCCAACATTATGTTCTTTTCAACAATGAAGCGCCCCGGCAAAGAAAAACAGAATAAAAGCATCTACGGTGCAGACATGGACATCTCCGACATCTCTGGCAACCAGACTACTTCTGTTCCCTACCAGTCACCTATCACCAAGAACCCTGACGTCCACAGTGCCATCGAAGGGGTCAAGTACATCGCAGAAACCATGAAATCAGATGAGGAATCCAACAATGTAATGAATTGTCTCACACAGAAAACATCTCTAATATATGAGTGTAGCTTTGTGAGTATTGACATGTTGTCCCTGTTCTTTCCAGGCGGCTGAAGAGTGGAAGTTTGTGGCCATGGTGTTGGATCATATTCTGCTGTGTGTCTTCATGGCCGTTTGTCTCATTGGCACGTTAGGAGTGTTTGCTGGGCGGCTCATCGAGTTGAGCATGCTCTGAAGACTCAGGTTGTTCCTGTTGCAGATGACCAGTTTGTTTGTGTTCTGCTATTTGGTATTTCAAGAATGGATCTTTTGTCTTTGTACAAATATTATCTCTAAGCGCATTTTGTGTCAGACAAGTTCTTCTTCTTTTTGTCAAGGAATGTAATATATGTGTTCGATTTAAATGTTTCATTAGTTACAATTTTTTTTTTTCCTGGGCATACTCATAGGGAATGACTTAAAAATAATAAAATGGTTTTGTCCATTTTCAGGATGAAATGCATTCTTGATTAGTGACTGCTGACAAATCCTCTTTCCTGATGAGACTGTTACAAACCACAATTCTGACATCATAATCACCTATTATTAGAGGTAGGAATGTATTTCAATCCCCACAATGGAGTTAGGGTGTAACACTAACAGGTATTTGTTGGACAACACCCACTCCCTGACGCACTGAAGCCTCTCCTCTAATGATGCCTGTCTGTACGTTGTGTTGACCAACTTCCCACTTCTGCTCTGTTGTGTAGATTTTTCTACTTACTCAATTTAACATTCAGATAAATATCGCTCTAACACATGTGATTGAATGAATGTGAAGGAGGAGAAACTTAAAGAGAGGAGGGATCGTTCATCTTGGAAGTACAGAGTAGATTTCGACAGTTAGGATAAGAATATTGTTGATACATTAAAAAACATTATCCTTTAGGGTCACCCTTTTACCTTTAGTGGTTATTAAAGGGACCTCCTGATAGTTCTCAACTCACTGAGACGTTGTTCAGACCTGGTATTAACATCCATCCTGAGAGATCCAGTCCCTGGCAGTGAGAGCTCAGTACAGGTCTAATCCCTAATAATCCATCCCATTATTAACTGACAACAAATATATGCCCTCTGTCCTTAAAGCAAATGAAAGAAACTTCAGGAAGAGGAAAGAAACAAGGAGGGATCATTTTCCAAGGAAGATCAGACATGTTGAGCAACAGAGTTGATCCAGATAGAAGGGATGAGCAAATAACACAAAGTAAATAATGGTAATACAACATAGGCTATACACATATTACCTGGAAGGACACGAGACAACATCCAAACAGACAGACACACACACACACACACACACACACAC